CAAAAATTTGGTGAAACAAACTGCGAAATCCCGGTTTGTTATATTTAGTAATTCATTCATATATAGAATATGAAAAAATGAAAAAAAAAAAAAAAAACGATTTACAGAATGTAAAAAGGATACAGTACAATAATATAACCAATTTGTAATTCATGTAATTCATATGTCGATTGTCGATTCTTAACTACGTTACAATAAATATAGTATAAATATGTAGATAATCAATTTAATTAGTATAAATGTATTTAGAATAGTTTGATAACATAGATTAATACGCCTTAACCTAACACAATAAAAGGATTTTACTATTGACCGCATATAAATAAAATAAAAATTTATTTGTTTTTATTTCAATTATAAATTGTCCTCATCAGTCTGTTCATCTTTTTCAAAATATATATATATATTTATATATATATATATATATAAAAAAAAGGGATATATTATATATTATAAATTTCTTTTTTTTTCTAAAAGTTATAAATACGCTGAATATTTTTTTCCTCTTCTGCTTTGTTTCCATGAAAAAAAATTTCCTTAACCAAACGAAATCATATTTCGAAGAAGAAAGAATCTTTTTTTATTATAATAATAAAAAACTGACCAAAAAAAAAAAATTAAAATAAAAAAATTCAAAAAAATGTCATTTTACTCACTTTGGTATAAACAGACAATTAATGGAGTTGCTCCATCATCGAGCGCTACGTCCTCGCAAACAGATTTAACGGTCGCTCAAGTAACCGTCTGCTCAATAAAAGATAAATTGGTATACAACATAGAGTACAAACCAACCTCTCTTGATGAAAAGCCACTTTCAAAGAGAGCTTCCGGTCGTCGCGTTCGACAGAGCACTACCTCATCATCATCGACAACATCATCAACGTCCACGACATCCTCGTCGTCTTCAAATACTTTTGCCGCTGCTAGCATCGTGGCCGCCAACTTTAGAAATCACGGAAGGAATCATTCAAGAATCCACAGCAGACAAGTTAGTTCTGAATCTTTGTCGGAAGTTTCCATGTGGGATGATTGGATCGTTAAATACATAAACGAAGACAACAAAAAGACCATCATGGCAGAGGACTCCCCAATGGAAGAATGGGTAGGTTTTCCCCCTTGATTATGCTCTCTCTCTTTGCTCATCTTTTACACGCGAAATGAACATGCGCTAACCTTTTTCTTCTCCCTTTGCATTTACGAAATCAAATAGATATTCGAAACGATGTGAGAAGCGAGTATCCGAAAACATATTTAATTTAAATTTTCTATATCGTCAAAAAGAATCTGGTATTCTTTCAACGATTAAACGTCATTTAAACACAATTTGTACATTCTTCGATTTGTAAATTCATATTTTAGACTAAAGGTTAATTGGCTATTTAATAATAACATTACATTTCACAATCCTTTTATTATACGACTAATTTTTAAAAAAGTCACACATTTTATGTATCATAACTAAAAATTAAGATTTATTTTAACATTCCAAAAGATAACACCATTTAACCTATAGAACATCCACAATCATACATCCTTAAAAAAAAGTCCTTTTCTTCAAAAAAAAAAAAAAAAAAAAAAAATTAATTTAATAATAATAGAATAAATTTTTATTTAATCATACTTTAAAGAATAACCACGCGAGTGGCTCTTTTGTAACTAGTTATTTATTTATTTATTTATTTATTTTTTTTTTTTTTTTTTTTTTTTGTTTTTTTTTAAAAAAAAGACCTTTTTTTCCTAATCGATAAAAAGATTAACAATAATATACATCATTTTTTTTATTATAAGATTTAAATCATTTTTTTAAGTTGTCTTTTGTTTTTATTAAATTTTAATTAAGCTTTCAATTCAAAATTAATTCGAGTAATTCGGGAAATCACAAACACGAACAAACACTTTTAAACATTTTCAGTTCATCAATTTCGATTCATTTCTTGTCGAGAGTTGGAGTTTCTTGTAAAAAGTTCTTATTTTTTTTTTCTCCTTTGTAAATTTTT